CCAATCCCTAAAAAACAAATACCAAATGTCTTCTTTGATATAATGAGAGCAACTAAGAACAGAGCAGGGAGGAAGAGCAGGAGGAAAAGATTAACATTAAACAGAGATATGAGATGGGAGGGAAAGGGAGAGAAAAGGGAAATTGCATGGAAATGAAGGGAGACCCTCATTACTATACAAAATTACATATAAGAGGTTGTGAGGGGAATGGGAAAATAAACAAGGAGAGAAATGAATTACAGTAGATGGGGTAGAGAGAGAAGATGGGAGGGGAGGGGGGGATAGTAGAGGATAGGAAAGGTAGCAAAATACAACAGTTACTAATAGGGCATTATGTAAAAATGTGGATGTGTAACCGACGTGATTCTGCAATCTGCATTTGGGGTAAAAATTGGGAGTTCACAACCCACTTGAATCTAATGTATGAAATATGATATGTCAAGAGCTTTGTAATGTTGTGAACAACCAATTAAAAATAAAAGAAAAGAAAAGAAAAATAAGAAAAATAAGAAACTCAGAATAGTCAAAGCAATCCTGAGCAAAAAGAGCAATGCTGGAGGCATCACAATACCAGACCTCAAATTATACTACAGAACTATAGCAATAAAAGCAGTGTGGTACTGGAACAGAATAGAATACACAGATATTAGCACACATAAATATAGTTATCTTATACTAGACAAAGGAGCCAAAACCACACATTGGAGAATAGATAGCATTTCTTAATAAATGGTGCTGGAAAAACTGGATATCCATGTGTAGAAGAATGAAACTTGACTCTCACCCTGCATGAAAGTCAACTCAAAGTGGATCAAAGACCTAGGAATTAGACCAGAAACCCTGCAACTGCTAGAAGAAAATGTAAGCCCAACACTCCAACATTTTTGGCACAGGAGCCAAATTCCTTAGCAAGACTCCTAAAGTGTAAGAAATAAAACAAAAAAAAAATCTAATAAATGGGATGGCATAAATTTTAAAACTTCTGCATAGAAAAGGGAATGATAATGTGAAGAGAGAACCTACATAATGGGAGAAGATCTTTGCCACCTGCTCCTCAGATAGGGTATTAAGATCCAGAATATATAAAGAATGCAAAAAAAAAACACTTAACTAAAAACAAATAACAAAATTAATAAATGGGCAAAAGAACTAAACATACATATCTCAAAAAGAAGAATTACAAATGGCCAACAAATATATGAAAAAATGTTCAACATCTATAGCAATTAGGGAAATGCAAATTAAAACTACATTGAGGTTTCATCACACTCCAGTCAGAATGGCAATTATCAAGAATACAAATAAGTGTTAGCAAGGATGTGGGGGAAAAGATACACTCATCCATTGCTGGTGGTTGCAAATTAGTGCAACCACTCTGGAAATCAGTATGGAGATTCCTTAAAAAAAATAGAAAGAAAAGAAAACCAGGAATGGAACTACCATATGACCCACTTATCCCACTTCTCAGTATATATCCAAAAGATCTAAAATCAGCATACTACAGTGACACAGCTACATCAATGTTTATAGCAGTACAGTTCACAATAGCCAAGTTATGGAACCAACCTAGGTACCCTTCAACAGATGAATGGCTAAAGAAAATGTAGTATATATAAACAATGGAGTATTACTCAGCCTTAAAGAAGAATGAAATTATGGCATTTGTTGGTAAATGGATGGAACTGGAGAATATCATACTAAGTGAAACAAGCCAATCCCAAAACCCCAAAGTCCAGATGTTTTTTCTGATATGCAGATGCTAGTCCAAAATAAGGAGATAAAAGGAAAAAGGAGGGGGCTCCATTTAAATAGAAGAAATTGAAGTAGATTAGATGAAGGAGATTGAGGCAGGGAGGAATGGATAAAGAAAGAACAATGGAATGAATCGTTCCTAACTTTTCTATGTCCATATATGAATATACCACAGTGAATCTCAACATCATGTATATTCACAATACACTAATCATGTGTGTGTGTGTGTGTGTGTGTGTGTGTGTGTGTGTGTGTGTGAGTGTAGCAGAAAGGTCAGTAGAGTAGAGGGAAGTGAATAGGGGAAGAAAAGGGGAAGTACTGGGGACTGAATTAGAACAAATTATACTCTATGCTTTTATGATTATGTCAGAATGAATCCTAATATTATACATAACTAATATGAATTTTTAAAAAGTAAAAAAGCATTTATGTGTTTAGAGCATACAAAGTACAGGACATTATAGCAGATATTAGGAAAAAAACTTGAAACAAAGAACATCAAAGAGTCAATTTAGTGCAAAAACTTGGGTCAGAAGAAAGAATAAGCTTTAGGGGGATTACAATATCACATTCGATATTTTATATTGAATAAATTTAAAGTCCTCTTCTATTACGCTGAGAAATGTGTCCATGAATTTCATCATAATGTCTATAAATTTCATTTTGATCTCAACTGACTGGCAAAAATTGAGCCTGTGTTAAAACAGAGAAGTAAACAGACATTTATGATATAATATGAAACAAATCAGATTGACCTGAAGCTTATAAAGCTTATGCTTCAGGGACTCTCATTGCATAGACCTTCATAAGACCTTGGGAGGGACTCAGCACTTTATGAGAACCACAATTTTAACTCAGAAACAAAAGATATGATGAAGATTCTCTGAAATTTGATAATTTGTAATTACATCTCCCACTACAAATAAATTGTGAATCTGAAATTTTTTTTGAAACTATCAAGAAAATAAAATTTTATCAAACATATCAGGGAAAGACAAATGACCTTCAGTTCTTGCCACAGAAAATATAACAAAAGCAATTCTCATAAGGGAACCAATTAAATAAATAATTCAAATGGTAAGGAAAGCATATTATAGAAATGTGTCAGGAATCAATAGAAGTATTGGGGAGTATCACATTTGTGATACTTTATGGTGTTTTTAATCTTTCAAATTTTTAAATTCATAATGTGTTATGATATTCATTATGCTAAATGAATATTTATTTGCTTATTTATTTTTACATTTGTAATTCTGGGTCTTTTTCTTAAAGTGGACAACTCATCCTATAGATGGGTCAAGTCCCAAACTTGAATCCATGCTGATGATAAATGTATTGCCAGATGTTAAAGTGCAGTTTCTTATAAGAACACGGTTTCTCAACTCAAAATAGATCAAGAACCTAGGCATTAGACCAGAGACCCTGTGCCTACTAGAAGAAAATGTAGGCCCAACTCTCCATCATGTTGGCTTAGGAACTGACTTCCTCAACAAGATTCCAAAAGCACAAGAAGTAAAATCAAGAATCAATAAATGGGA